CATCCTGTGCTGCAGCTTGTGATGAGGCCATGTTCTGCCTTTGCTGCCTCCTGCTCCTCCTGCCTGCCTCTACAGCTGCTCCTGGGCCAGGCTCTGGAAATAAGTGGGCCATTCACCTTGTCTAACCTTTCCTGATTTCCCAGTCTGAGATGTACATTTGTGCAATTAGCTCATACTCCTGAAAAGGGTTGAGGAAAATAAGCAGCATCTTTTGTCACTGAGGCTCTTCTCAATTGATAGCTGATGCAGTATGTCCCCACAAAACTACTGCAGTATTTTGAAAAGGAGACAACTAAGTGGTTTTATGTGGTATTTCTGTGTGATAGTTTTTGGAAGAGTAGCAGATACTTCATAGTCAGTCTTCTTTCTCCATATCTTGTTCATCGTTTACTGCGTGTATTCCTACTTCTACTGCCAACTTTTGTAACATGGGCTACTGAGTCACTCAGCAAAATCACATTCGTTTCTGCAGTTAAGCCAATAACTTGGGTAGAAGAATAGGTTCTATTGTCTTGTCTCAGTACCAAGGTGCCAGATGATGGGAGATTCTAGCCTGTCCCTGGCAAGCAGTTGCTCCTGCTAGATATCCTCCTTGCTGAATATTTGCACTCTCCTTTTTCTGCCGTTGACTTCCAGCCATCAGACCTCAGTTTGCTTTTCTCAGCTAGATTAAAGAGCTTTGTTACTCTCTTTTGACTTTTCCATGCACAGCTTCTTACAGACCACCAAGTTGTCTTTTAATCTTGACTTGAAAAAACTAAACAGAATTGAACTCCTTTCAATGTTTGTGCTATTGAGAGTATTCATGAAGGATGATCTGACTTTTAGGAGGAACGTATGTGTGTAGCAGATATCCATGGCGATGGGCACCTATGTAAACAGCCAGGCTGACACCTCCAGTAAACATTCTCTTAAAGAGCTGTGGCAGGTCCATCCATCACACTGCCTATATACACAGTACTGTCAAATATGTAAAGTAAACAAACAGGGGGCAAAAAAGAGGTGATGAAAGAAGTAATGCTTTTATCTAATCCCTTTTTGTTTTAAGAGCCTGTCTGGTTTCTCATCATGATAGTAAATACATGACTTTCAGATATTTTTTGGGTGGACCACATCATTTGAAGTGGTCTGGTGACAGATGTACAGCAAATGAGTTAGGAGAGGAAAGAGGGAAATCCAATTTGCCAATTCTTCATCCACTTTCATAATTTCTTTTTTTTTTTTTTTTTGCCCTTTGTCCTTCATAATGCTGTGTCTCGTTGTGTCCAATTGAAGGAGCCATACAGAAAACATTATCCCATTATTTTCTCAGGGAAAGAGGGAAAACAAGCCTTAAAGAGAAACAAGCACACAACCTTTGCATTGCTGGCACATTGCCGAGCCCAAGGGCTGCTCTTAATTTACATATAAATGTGCTGAGGATTTTATTCAGCAGCTAATGCACTCTGTTGTTATTTTTCACTTACAGTGTTTGTAATGCACGTGGTGGTTGGCAAATTGCATGGGGCATATGTACTTGGAGGAGTGCAGTGGCACTGCTTTTTGGATTGATGGCTGGCTATATTTCTGCTTTTTGGATTGATGGCTGGCTTTATTTCTGAGGCTGCCCTGGGCCTCAGGTAGTGCTGGCTCCAGGGATACTGCAAAATCCAGCCGAGGGTGACATAAAGAGCTGGCTCACAGATGTGTGGTTGGATTTCAGCTGTCTCATGTAAAAACGCTGTAGTGCCTCCATGGTGTAGCATCCCAGTGGATGAGAACATCTGTTTTATCTGTCTTGTTCAGAAATGTGTCTGCAAAATCTTGGAACTTTTTGGTTTTTAGTACTGTTGAAATTTTCATGACTTCTGCAGGTGTTTTTTCTTGATTTTTTTAGTTTGGGCATCATTACTTTGTTCACATTTCTCTTTTAATTGGCAAGCAGCTGCAAAGAGTGCACCACAAAAACCCATCCAAGAAAAGCCCTTAGAGCTGCTCCCAAAGGCCTCCCCTTCTTTCCGCTCCTATAATAGCAGGGGCTTTTACCTGTTAATATCTGTGAGCTTTGAAGTAAGTTATGCGTTTTTCTGAATTTATTGTGATTTTATGCAAGGATATTCCCCTCCTTTCTCTCAGCTAAAGTGAGTGAGAGCCTGTCTGTGGACAGCCCAGGGAATATTTTGCAGCTCCTGATGTCGGCTCTGTCAGCCTCTTTGCATTCGTGCCATGGTGATGAATAAGCAGTGTTGATGACCAAATATCATCATTACTCTCAAGGGTTAACACCTCATGTGAAGCTGGCTTTTGACATCCCTCTGGAAGGATGTCATCCACACCTGTGTGGAGTGATCTATTAAATATTTGGGCAGCTTGTGTATTCTTATGGGTACTACCTTTATATCCATATGTGCGTGTACAGAAAGAAGGCATTTTGTACAGAATGTTGAAGAGCGTGGTAGAATGTATTCCCAGGATGATGAAAGGATTTCCATGTGGAAAACCTGAAAGTGAGCAAAAGTCTTCTTATTTATCAAACTGCTGTGTGATGTTGACAGGTGAAACGACAAGACTTATTGAGGAAAAGGAATTAATTGTATCTGGGACCTTTTAATAAATCAAAAGTAAAAGTAAGAACCAGTGTAGCAGACCTGTTGGCAGTAGCTAATGCTTGTTCAATGATCCTTCCCTTCTGAAATACAGAAATGAAAAGTGACTGTTGCCAGGAGTTATAAAATGAAGGAATGACTCAGAAGATAGATTTATTATCACCTCAGTATCAGTGAAATTCAGCTTCATAAACATAGGTTAATCTGCTAAAACCTTCTGTGCTCTCACTGGGGGTGAACCCTTTTTATTTCAAGTTTTGTTTAAAGATGTAAAATAATTCTTCTTGTCTTCTGAATAAATCATCATCTCTAGTATCACTAATATTCATCTTTTTTTCCCCTGATTCTTTCCTCTGTGGATTTATTTTACTTATTTATTTCTGTGGGTTGTTATGGGCACTTCTCATCCTTGCAGTGTAATTTCTCTTCTGGACTTGTGGGCTTTTTTCATCACAGTTCACCATATATTTCACCTATGTTTCTACAGAAACTCATTACATAGCACAGATTGCTGCCAACAAGAATATTTAGAATACACTCTGCTTTTGTCCTCCAGTGCTGCCCTCCTCACCTATGATGGGTGAATAACACATCTGAGTGAGAAGGACATGGATCTGAGGTTACTACAAAACGACCTATGCCTACACATGACCATAATCAGTGCTGCTCCTTTCCCCTTCCTCTATTACATGGCTGATCAAATGTTAGGAGTATGCTTGCCAGTTCAAAGTAGCATTAAAAGACATTAAAAAATATCCAAAGCTTGAAAAAAAAAATTGTAGTATTAAAAAGAAAAAAATATCTCAGAAGAGCAAATACATGTGGCATCTTTGTGACTGTGTGGTTGGGTTCTGTGCTACCTTGAAAACTTTTCTAAGATATGAAGCTGTCATGGAAACAGTGCAGTCAGATCCTTAAAAAAACCCCAAAGCCAAAAAGACACACATATATTTTATTAATGCTGACCTCAGAGCAGCTCTGTCCTCAATGATTAACTGATAATTTTGTTCTAAATAACATCAAACACATCTGAGACTAAATTCACGTTTCTTGTGTTCATGTTTTGCCCTGCAGTTTCTCCATCATTTGCCATCTACTAATGACATGATTTGATGGTTTGCAAACAGTCCTTTTGAGTATTTCTTAAGCTTGAGATCCACTGCATTAGTGTGTCTCTCAAGATTAACAATGCTGTATTTGGGGATGAAAATGTTCTTGGTACATGTGTCAGAAGTGCTGAGGAAGTGCATTTGCTTATTTTGATGCTGGTGTGATTTTGTGTGTGGTACTGGTGTATTTGGTCCTCTGTGCACTCGTGGTCAGTGCTTAAGCCAGTGACGGTTTGGACTATGCCAATACAAGCAACTCTTAGAGTGGCAGTTTCTGCTATATCATAGAATCACAGAATGGTTTGGTTTAGGAGGGACCTGGAGGGTCATCTGGTTCCAACCAGACACGAACCAGGTGTTCATGTCAGGAGGAGGATGGATTTCGAAAGCACTTCAGGCAGAAATGAAGTGGGTGGAAGCCCCTCATGCCAGGACAGTTCAGGCACGGGGCTGGTAATTCAGTCCCTCTCTGTTCTGTGGCTCTGAGTCAGAATCACACCAGCGTCAAAATAAGAAAATGCATTTCCTCACCACTTCTATGACACATATATCAAGAATATTTTCATCTCCTTATACACAGACAGACTTTCTCTTTTGTTTCTTAGGAACAGGTGGCAAACCAACTGATGTTTTCTTACACCAGTAGGTGAAGTGGCCAAGCCTTTCCTTTTCCTTCCTCTGGGATAAAAGAGGATAGAAATATATTTGTTATATTCATTGTTTAAGGGCTGCTGTGTGAGCTTTTGATTGCTTGTCATCCAGGATTTTAGCATTTTGCAATGGGTGAGCTCAATTTTAAATTTACTGTCTGTTTTCTGAACTTGGATGGATTATTTTAAATTCCCTCCTAGGTTTTCTTATTTAGCAAGGGCACAGGCAGGAAATAGAAAAGAAAAGCCACTTTTTTTTGGTGTGGTTCATTGTCTGTGGTCGTATCCTTCCCTACCAAGGTTTATACAAGTTTGCATCCATTACAAGGCAGAAAATGATGGTGTTTGTTCTGTTACTCTGCCAGCTGCAGTTCTAGCAAATAATGCTGTGGCATTAGGGCATTTGTGAAGAGCCATCCTTTTACCTTCCCTCCCTCTCAATTTCTTGGGACAAAGAATTGAGATGTTGAGCTGAGTTCACAAAACAATTCCTGAGCTCAGGCTTCTGTTTTCATGTGTTGGACAACTTGAATTTTTCTACGGGTGGCGCCTTTGTTATATGCTGAACACTTTTCTGTCATACAGCCAAATGAAAATGTGATGTGATGTCTTATTGATGGTATTTGTGACATCCTCTGCTTGCTGTTTTTCTGCAGGAGTTATCTACACAGCAGATGTTCTTGACCGGGAGACGACCAAATCCTACTGGTTGACGGTGTATGCCACTGATCATGGTGTTGTCCCCCTCTACACCACCATCGAAGTCTACATTGAAGTGGAGGACGTGAATGACAATGCCCCTCTCACCTCTGAGCCTATCTATTACCCAGTTGTCATGGAAAACTCCCCAAAGGATGTATCTGTCATTCAGATCCAAGCCCAGGACCCTGACTCCAGCACTAATGAAAAACTGACTTACCGGATTACAAGTGGAAATCCCCAGAACTTCTTTGTAATCAATCCCAAAACAGGTAACAAAACCCTGTTGCCTCAGGGCAGTGGGAAAATGCAATTTACATATTTATTGGCTTTCACCCCTTCAGGGTGCACTGGTTTGCTTCCTGAACCTCTGTTTTCTGGTGGCTTCTGTGACTGAAGCATCTTGTTGGTGTCTGAAGCATTCTGCTTTGCATCAGTGTGCGAACGCGCTGGCAGATGATGTGCTGCAGATGTGCTGCTGCAGCAATCACTCTGCCTTGGGTCACTGAATTGCTGCTGGCTTCTTCCCTCTGTCTACAGGGATGAGACTTTGCTGCGCTGAGTCTGCAGAACAGTGCTAGGAAGCAGATTCAAGCTGTTGCAGGTTACAGAGCAGTGTTTCATTCTTTGTTGGCTGGTGTAGCACCACTGGAGTGAGTGACATGACAGCTGGTCAGCACATGTAATAAGGCTCCATGTTGAAGTAGGTGGATTTAATTCTACAGCTTGCTTTACACAAAAAGACAGTTTAGGTGACCTACACATCCCTCTGGCCTTTAAAAAGAATCTGTGGGTTTCCACTGGTTTACAGCTGCTGGGGATGTAGCCTGTGGGTGCAGCGTGGCAGAAAGGGTGATTGTTTTAACTTAAAATACTATTGTTAGCTGGCAGTGGAGCACGGCACCCATGCAGAGCAGCTCTGCACGTGTCTGTACCCCAGGTGCCTTTGCTGAATGAGGCTGATAAAGAAATTGCCCCAGGAGATGTAGCCTGAGATCTTGCATGTGTGAGCACCTGCTGGGTGCCTACCTGTGCTTGGCAGCTGGTGTTCCTCACTCCAGCATGTGTCCAGCTTTTCTCACTCATTGGGCTTCTGGGGAACCTCCAGCATGATCTGGAGCTGGAGAGTCGAGGGTATCTTCCAGAGCAATATGAAAGTAGTTCTTTATGAAAGTAGTTCAGAGAATTCACACAGTGCTCCTGCTTGTTTTCATGGCCCTAGTTTTGTTCTGGGGTTTTGATTTTTTTAAGGTTATTTATATCTTCTGCTAAATTTCTAAACAGCTAAAAAACTGCAAGGAATAGACATAAGAAGGAGCATTTTTAATTTTGTGTATGGAAATGATGTTCACTAAATAGGTTTTCAACATTTGGTTGGGCAATCCTATTGCAATGTGTGGCATAAGAAGGGGTCAGGATCTTCTCAGGCATAAGCTCAGGTGAAGAATTATGGAGAATGTATAATCACTGTGTTCAATCTGCTGAGCCCTAAGGCGCATATCTCACTTATTTTTAACACTTGGAATGGCCGAAGATGCTCTTCCATCTGCATCCCTTCTCCCCCTCCCCACCCCATAAATCCCATCTGGGCAAAGTAGCAGAGTTAGGACTCACAGTGTTTAATGCTTGTGCTTCCCTTCCATCAGCTCCTCCCGCAGAGCAATCTGCTCAGCACAGCCCTGCTTATCTGCAGGGTGAGCTGTGACAAGGACTGGAGCTGGGCACGTGGCAGCCCTGCAGCACCCTGGCCTGGTGGCACACCCTGTGGGTTGGCTCCCCTTTGTCCCTCTGGAGAGCAGGCAGGATACTCTTCCCTAACAGTGAGATCTTATTCTCACAGTTAACACTGACAGTGGTTAGTCTTCATTTGCACTGTGGAAATTGCTGTCTGAGAGCTTAAAGGCTGCAGGATGGGTAACTTTGTTGCTTGGGCAAAGGGCCCCCCCCCTTTGCTGCCTCCCAAAGGGCCCCCCTTACTCTCAGTGAGCATCCTTGCTAGTGACTGGCTGTGATTTGTTATAGAGAGGATAAATCATCGCTTTTCTATCCAATTCAGTGCCAAACACAGAGCAGTGAGAACTGGGCAAGGTGGCCTCTTGGAGTTTGTTTTGAAAACGATGAGGCTGACAGAGAGTGTGTGTGCAGAGATCTCTTTTCCTAAAGGGGAGTGCCAGGCCTTGACATCATAAGGCTTTCTCCTGATGGGATGCTGATGTCCGAGAAATAAAAGCATAATGGATTTTCCTAGAGAGTGCCCCTGGGGGTCTCTGGCAAGGCTCCTTTCAGCCATCTCCCTGCAGTGCACTAGTTTTCTCTCAGACAGTAATTTACACTCCAGTTGTTTTGTACAGGAGACTTCTGCACGCACAGAAGAGGTTCATAGCCTGCCAGCCCCATGCTCTTGCTGGGATTCAGCACAGCAGTAACTCACGTAGAGCGTTGCACAGCAGCCCTAAATGCGACAGCATGCTGTATAATCAAGATGAAAAGGTTTAATGTGAACCCAAATATGCTGCGATTGCTGTATACGTGGGCTGAATGAGCATGCTCCTGCTGTCGGGGGAGAACAGTCATTTGAGAAAGTGGATCTTTTATTTTCTGTGTCACTTTGGAAGTTTCAACACTGCCAGCAAACTGACATCTCACTCCTGTGAGTAATCCACTGCTGAGAGTCAACACGAAGGCAGCATCCTGCATTTTTTACATCTTTTGGTGGGAAGCGACAGAAGAGATGGGGAGTGTGCTGGAGCATAGGGGTGTTCTCAGTTGTCTTTGGAGATCAGCAGTGACCGTGTTTCCCTTCCTCTGGAGCTCACTTTCAGCTGCCTTGTAGCTCATGCAGGTCAGGCAGGTTTCTGGAGGCACATGGACCACTATGTGTCTGATCAAGCAGGGACACAGGGAGTCCAGGTTTTTTTCCTGGTTCTAATTCAGGATCATAACTTCAGCCAATTCTTGCACTCATGATTGATTATGTGGATAGCAGAAGCAACATTACGCCTTGTATTCTGTATCTGTAGATGGAAGAAACCTCTTAATAGACAAGTTGTCACTTCCTACATTTTTATAGACTGGCACAGCTCGTGGTGGCTATTTTAGGCAGCCCAACTGCAAATGTATTGTGTGCATTTGGATCTGTTTGAAGGCAGGCTTCAGACCTTTCAGGATTATTACCTGCATTTTGCTCTCTGGATTTCAGAGAGATGCAGAGTTGCTCCTGTAGGAATGAAGAGCTGCTAAAAGGCCACTGATTTGGGCACTGAAGTCACCCTGGGTGTGCTCTCACTGTGGGCTGATTCTGCTGCGGGGGCACAAGTACAAGGTGGCAAGGGCCCTCCTCTTTGGGCTTGGTGTTTATCTGGGTGCTCCAGGGAAGAGGACAGGAGCATGAGCAGCCCGCCCATGTGTGTCAGGATTAGAAAGGCAGTGTGGGCAACCTCCCATGAAGACCTTTTTTTTTCTCACCTTGATATTTTTTTTGAAATACAGCCAAGCATCAGTTTGCGCCTTGGTGCGCACTTTTATCTCATGAGCTGATATTCATAGGTACAAGTCCTAAGTGAATAATGAAGCACATGAGCACGTGTGAAACCATAAATCATTCATAGTGGAGAACAAGGCAGCCTTGTTCTGTTAACTGGTGGACACTGCAGCCTAAGTGTAGCAGATCCAAGAGAGCAAGATGGGATTTTCCTTTATTGCAAGAGCACAGTTTTGCGAGGGAAGTAGGAAACATGTTTTTTCAAAAAGTTGGGGTGACTCTAGGGGTTACATTACTACAGGGAAAGGCATTCCCCTGGGCATTTGTTTCCCAGCTGTGTATACACACAGCAGCAAGGGCAGCATTCCTGGAGCTCAGCATCTTCAGCAGCTGCAAGTCAGCCTAAACCCTGATGTGGCTGCTGGGAGAGGCAGGCCTTTTCCTCATAGCTTGACTTCTGTGCTTGGGAGGGCTTAGGGTTGCTTTGGCAGAGCACAGGGTCACAGGGCTGTGCTCCTTTGTGGGTGGTGTGAGACGGGGAGGACGGCGGAGCTGCTGCCGGAGCAGCTGGGCTGACCAGCCCCCAGGAGTGCCACATTCAGCCCTCTTGGGTGAGAGGCACGTGGAAGAAGGTAAATAAAGCAGAAGATGGAGTTAATAAAAAAATTGATTGATCAGAGCTGTAAATTCTTACTCCTATTTCGTGTATATGGGTGTTAATTTCACAGCACAGGGGTAATTTATTGAGTTGATTTATTATGTTTCTGCACTCTGGAAAAAAACAAATTTTAATTCAAGCCATTCCATTACTTTGTTTAGTGTTAACATATTTTGAACAAACCCAGTAAGCTTCTCTTCAGGCTAATGTAGATTACTTAAGAGATTCTTTAACTAACATGCCAACAGACCAGATTTCACTCTTGTGCACATTCTTATTAATTAATTTACTCTAAAATTATGCTTGTGTGTCTGGAAAATCTGCTTACACCTTGCTTAGCCTTTTGCTGGCACCATTTAAACAGAGGCAGACCCCTGGCACCCCTGAAATAGTATTTGCTGCAGTGGTTAAGGCAGGACTCACTTGTAGGTTTAGAAATAGTGCATCTAGGGCAGTACAGCTTTGCAGAGCAGCAATGCTCTGCCTCTGGAAGCTGTCTCTGAACTGTCACATCTGCACCTAGATTTGGAAAGACTCTGGATATTTTCACACTGAAGTAGTATTAATATTTATGTAAGCTAATATGGGGTTAGTGAGTGTCAGAATTTAATTGGTATGAATGCTGCTCTTCTCAGTAGGCTGGGCTTTGCTTTCTTTTGCACTCACAAAGCCAGCTGGCGTAGAATCCTGCTGGGGCTGAAAGCCACGCTTGCTCTGCCATACTAAAATAGTGCTTCACCCTCCTGTCATGCATTCTGATTTTTATAGCCACTTTTCTTTGCCTTGTCCCAAGAAATCCCCACGTGTCTTTGCTCTCACAGACTGAGACAAATCCAGTGGTTTGCTGCTGCTCCACATCCTGATGGCTGCCAGCAGTACAGATGCTGGGTACCCACTGCCTCTTTTCAGCCCAAAAATCACAGAATCATGGAAAGGTTTGGATTGGAAGGGACATAAAAGACCATCTAGTTCCAACACCCCTGCCATGAGCAGGCAAATCTTCCACTAGACCAGTTGCTCAGAAGCCTGTGCAGCCTGGCCAAGAACATTTCCAGGAATGGAGCAGGGATTGTCCTTCTATCACACCTAAATATTATAGCTGCTGCTAGAGCAGACCTTGTGAAGCTCTGGAG